CACCGGTTGCGGTTTCAACAACATCTGTAGATTCCCAGTCGACGGAATCTCGCTCGTCTCTGACTAACGAATTGATTCAGTTGATGAACACACTACAGCAGCAGCAGGAACAACAACGACAGCAATTGCAACAACAGCAACAACTTCAACAACAACATCAAGATTTGCTAGAACAACAACGCAGTCAACTCAGCCAGCAGCTACAACAACTGCAACAACAGGAGCAACAAATGCAAACCCCAACTGCAGTGGCGGTTCAACCCGCGTCTTTTCCTCAGTCAATGACGGGGCAAGGTAGAGCAGTTTTCCCAGCGACTGAATTTCAACCCCAGTTCCCTGCTATGCAACCCATGCAGATACCCCAGACTGTCCAACCACAAGTTCAACCACAACTTCCGCAGCAACAGCAGCAACAACAACAGCTTCCGGCCGGACAGACAGCATCTCAACAAAACCAGCAGCAAGAGTCAACCACCATCATTTCAGTCGTGCCACGAACTTTGCTAACTCTGTCCACCGAAGACGACGGTGGCTATGGTGGACACAATGGCTACGGTTTGATGGATAAAGTAACCGGTTCAGCAGGCTTCTATGACTTATATCCTGCACAGTCTGTGCTCAAAAGAAAAAAGATTTTGCGCCGAAAAATCATTCGTCCCTCAAAGGATTTGTTTAGCTACAACTTGTTCGGAATGCCATGACTGAAAACCTGTGAAAGTGAACTGTTTTCGTCTAGTTTGTTTAAATATTTCATTGTGTAATAATATAGTTTCAGTATGGTTGTCATCTAGTCTTCTATTTTACCGTTTGCGGTTCGGGATAGAGGATACCAGGTGACGCGATTATACGACTGTAGTGGTGACTTCCTCTCCGAAACGACGTGGTGATCAAAAGTGTTCAAGGGATTACAGAACTGAATAGTGTGATTTGTTCCTACGGTTTTAGACACGGATACAGTTGAGTGGAACCGAGTGTGTTCTACGAGTTGATGGAAGTTTCATTTGTGCTTGTAAAGATCATGAAAAGGTTTATTGATAGTGGGTACACACCTACTGGCTGGGTTGAAAGGTCATTCGGAATGGGGAGAGATGGGAGGGCTAGGTTGCTCGTGTGTGGACAGACTCGAACGTAATGACCTCAAATTATTACCGGTGCCAAGCGGGTTGTAGTGCGTTCGTTATGTTTATGATTCTATTCGGAAACGCTCGTCAATCCGCGATCAGAGTTAGCAAGGTTAATGCTTCGGCCAGGTCTATAGACATCATTACCTTAAGTTTTGACACAGCTTCGGTGACTATCGATCAATCAGTAAGTTATGCATTTACCTCGTATCGTCTAATAAGCGTAAACGGAATGGTTACACAATGGACAATATGACTCAACAACAAGAAAAACGAAAGAGGGTGAGGTTAAATCGCCAAGACAAAGCTACTGTGACCAACCATTCGCGTTGTTTGCTTAGATCGGGTTTGTGATTAGAATGGCCAGAGCCTGGATAACTTTCGGTAACTTTATGTTTGTTATATTATAGATGACCTGAAAAGCATGGGTCGGAGTGACATAATGATCTTATTCGAATAAGTGTTGTATTATCGAAGATCTAAGTCTTTTCTGCCCATTCAATGATGCAGCGGTTTCATACTTGTCGTCCGTCCCTTCCTTAGGCCACACCGAGATGTGTTCGGTCATTCGGTAACATAACTGTCTCTCCGTCGTGCCTATGTTGATAGTCACTTGAATCGATAAATGCAATTTCATTTTGCGGCGAGGAGCAATGCTACTTTCACCGGGCGATAGTCAAAACAATGACCGAGTTGTCCGCTGACTAATTGATTCAAATCGTATGACTTCAAGCCCTCACGGTAATGTCAGAGGATAGCCAAAATAACTCGCAGGGAACTCATTTGGCTACATGCCACGGTTACGTGTAGGAGACCCCAGGTTCCCATCCCCCTATATAAGGCCATAATTAGGTCACACTTGTAATATTGTGTTCAAGCATGAGTATTTTCGGAAAAGCACTGAATATCTCTCAAGGGTGCAACGTTTGGCTACAAGGATGCTGGTGGGACAGAGGGGCAAGAGTTATGAATAGAGGCTCAAGGACCTTAATCTGTTCTCGCTGGTAAAAAGAAAAATCCCGGTGCAACCCACAGAAATTTTTAAGATCATAAACGGTCTCTCCGGGCTCAAATTTGATGATCTATTCCGTTTCATACCTCCAAGTTGCACTAAGGGGCATAGTTTGAGGAAGTTGCATAGTATTATAAGTTTCGTCATACGCGCCAAGTTAGTTACCATTGCCCGGGACGCGATACTACACCGCTCATTCTGCCTTTCAGNCTTTCAGACAAAGCCTATTGACTCAGTGTTGGAAGCCACAAGATTAACCGAAAACACAACTATCTGGATGCACGACTGGCCCGGGCCGCACAGCGTCCTGTGCAAGTTGAACAGAACAGAACAGAAGTGAACTAAAAATCAGCACCTTTGTCTGACACTTTTAAAAACAGCTTGCATTTCGGGGCAGATATTGGTTTTTCTATTCTTTTTGTGTTGCTTTACAATGTCTGATGATAAATTCAACTGGGTTTCCGTTTGTGTATAGTACCTCTGCTAAGAAATTACTTGTATCGTTTATAAAGTCCTCTGCGAATAGTTCACGCGATCGGTAAAACAGTGCGAAACGAGACTAAGTTTATATCACATAAGGATAAAGCTGATGCAATGCAAACACTG